GTGGGATTTCTGCACACAGCCTGTGTGCACAGGCTTGCAGTTACACTGTAACAAGCCTCTAGTGAGCCAGTTTCAACTGAGATTTTTCAAGGCTTAACAACACTGTGTATTTTGTAGGGGGTCGCAAATGGCACTCCTTATGCCAGAACAAGCCCCAAATATCAAGCTCCTAGTCCAAAGGACAGGATTGCTAGTGTATCACTGGGAAAAGCTATTTAATATGTGCTATGCATTTTCCCCCAACCTCAATGTCAGAGAGGTTTGATCCATTTCAATTTAAAAATCAGCCAGAAGCATACTCTCAGCATGGCAAATTCAGCGTAAACAGTGAAAAAGTGGCCAAATTGTAAGAACAGGATCTTGTAGTAGGAAGCACCATGCAACCCTGCTGCCAGCTCTGCTGGTAATGCATGGAAACAGACCCACTACCTATTCTGTCTGCACGCCAGAACCCGACCTCCCCTGCGTTCTAAGTACTCTTCTGTATCTTTTCCAAAAATGTATTTGAAATTATTATTGATTTTGTCATTTTGGCTTTAGAGTTATATTCATCTCACAGATCCAGCTATATCCAACTGTACCCCATGAGAATTTTCAAAAACTAGAGCTAGAGAGACCGGTGTACAGATATTAGGCTGACTAGTTAAAAGACCGAAGCTGTGCTATTTTCCCTTATGTAAGCCAGCTTCAAATTGACTTTGTTTCCATTCCCCAAAATATAACTGAGGACAGTAGCATACTCTGTCTCAGTATTTTATGCTCAATTTAACTGCTGTATTGCATTAAATGATGTGCAATAATGTAACCCTAAATGCAAATGAATTCGTGCTTGGTAAAAGAAAATCTCTTTGCTGCCTTCTCCAAATAGAATTTTTTAATAGATTTTAATGAACTAGGAAAACCAAACATCCCCATATGGTGAGAAAATTTCAAGGCATGTATTAAAAGAAAAATCCTATGTTACTCATCAAAAACTAATAGATGTGACAGGAGAAAAAAAGTAAGCTATGGAGATGAAACTCAAATAACTAGCGAATATGGAAAATCATCTATTACAGTGCTTTTAAAAGACTCAGCACAGGCTAAAAGAGAAAAACACACTTTTCAGATTTCAAGAGTGGAATATATTAAATTTCATTTGAAGCAAATTATTTATAGTTATAAACTTCCCTGGAAAATTAAAACAATGCACACACTCCCTCAAATAAATACATCATTACGATGAGAATTACTGAAGATGTTACCTCCTTCTGTCTAAGACTGTAAAGTTTTCTTACCATATGAAAGACTTTGAGGAACTTTCTCTGAATCTCAGAAAGTTCCTCACTCAGTCTTCTTCTGGACATTACAGGGTAGCCTGCAGGCCTCTCTGAGCTGTATTTGCTACCAGTCCCACAGGCATCACCCTGGCAATCTAATGATATAAAGTAGTCTAAAGATGTCCTGCAAACACTCCCCTTTCCCTGGATGAATGCCCTTCCCTGATGCAGCAGCCATTCTGACACTCATATATCACCCTAAAATAAGCAAAACATATAAAATCTACGAACACAGGTCTGTTTTCTGGTACCCTGTTATTTCGTATTTCGAGTAGCTGGCAACAATTTTGGGAATTTGGCCCTGCAATCCCAGTACCTCCCTGATCATTCAATACTGACTGCAGAGCATGAAGACCGACACGTTGTGTAAGCACTGTAACAGTTGTACAGTTTAAAATTGGAGGAATGAAGCTTGCTCGCAGTAAACAAAATACTTGTGTATTTATCTCTGATGCACTTACCTTTCACTTAGCACAATTAAAGAGAACCAGGGCCATACAGCAAAAAGACAGAACTAAGATTCATGAACCATTTCTACGCTGTGTAGGTTCTTCTGCTGCATTTGTCATGGGACTGTCTGAGCTCCTCCAGGATGAAACAAGGTGACAAGCATCTGTCACATATTTACTCCGTCAGCTTCTCTCCACAGGAACGTGTACAGTGTGGGAGGCAGAAGGATGGCTGTTTTGTGTATGTGTCTTGGAAAGGAAGTTAATATGGTTTGCAAAGGACCTCATTCCTGTAGAAGTCACTGAACAGTTTGAGCCTTCCCCAGCCAAGTTCTGTCTCCTACCCAGGTGAACATGACTTTGTGCAGCAAGAGTCCTGTTATGCTAGAAATGCCCAGCTGTACAGGGCAGCGATATTAATTACTAAACTTTGCTCAGTTTCTAAAATACTTTGTATCTGAAAGTGTATGCCACCCTTAGCTGAGCATCACTGCCCACTACCGGGGGGAAATCACCTTCTAGGAAAGACGGATGTTTGACCTTGTTACCTCTATCTGTTACCTCCATCCGCTTCAGAAAATACATCAAAGTATTTTAGTTTGGATTCTACACCTGATGCTTTCAAGCAAGACCTCCTGATCTGGCTTAACTCCAAGCATAACACTGAAACACCAACACCTTAGAGAAGCACTGAGACTTAACTCATAACTGTTTGTAAAATGCTTATAGAATGAAAGGTGCTGTCTAAGTATCTAAGAATTATTACTCAGTGCATGGAAAAATGTTTATTTTCATACAGGATAAGGCTGTCGGGAAGTGGTATAGCATTAGTGAATAAGACTCTAAAAAAGGAACTGCATACCATTACATTTATACATTTAATAAAGGCTCAATGTGACAATTAAGAAAGGCCAGTACCCTTGAGGAAGCGGGACAGACAGACAGGGAGAGGTGGAAGTAGTTATTTTCGCATTAAGGAAACATGCTAAAATATTCATTGTCTTTATCTGCTGTCAAGAGATGTTTTTTGTGTAACAGAAATACCTTTAACCTTTTAAAGACATCACACAAATGCATCCAGTTAAACTCCCATGTCCAGAAAGAGGGCATCCAAGCATCTGTTTATTACTGTAACTTTTCTAATCCTGCCATAAAAAAATCTAAAAGTTATTAATCTTTACAGCAATGCCTGATACTATTTCTTCCCACTATTATAACCACTTTAAACCCAGCATAGAAATATTCATGAGTTCTTTCATGCGGGTCCTCATCTGGTGAGACTGAAGGCACAGAACTATTTTACAAAGGGGAACTGGGACGTAAAGCTGCTCTCTGAACACAGGAGAAAATTCACCCTGAGCAAAGGTCCAGAACAATGTCTATGCATCAGTTAAGACTCAGTTAAGCCTTAAAATAGGATTTAATTATGAATTTTATGATCCATTGGCTATGCACTGGTCTTGTCACAGTGCTGCTTTTCTTCTTTACCCTCAGCACCTTTCTGACAAAGGCAGGATAACCAGATCATAACACAAACTTCGGCACCAGTACACTTTCTCATAATGCTGATCCTGAATCAGTTGCTTTCTCCAGTTACATGATAGAGCATCTTAAAGCATCCTTATAATTTGTATACTGTACTCACATGCATCAACTGCATGCTTTGCATTTGCACCTGGTTCTTTTCCATTTAATGCGGTACTTTTGCATTTTTCATTACAAATTCCCCCCTCCCCCAAATGAAAAAACAAAGGCAAAACTAGATGGGATTTACCTTACTACAATTTTTAGAAACTTGGCAAAGAGCACCGCCTGACATACCGTCCTTATCTGGCATTCCTAAAAAAAGAATACTTAAAATAAATACATACTGTATATTCTTTAAGTAACACTGCAGATAGTTATCAACAGAACAGGGAATTGGAGGGTTCAATACTTTGATAACATATGCATTAATCTATGATTTTTTAAGAGCAAACCAGATTTATTCAGATAAATTTTTTTCTCCTGTGAACACAAAAAAGGCAAAAAGCTAACATCTGTAAATACTAGAAACAGCTTGCTAAACATAGTACTTTCTCACAACTTAATATTTGAAGTATTTATATAGGAATTATTTGTATTTTTTTCATTTAAAATTATCTGTGGTTTAATATCTGAAAGTCAAACATAACATGGAGTTTGCACTAACTAGCATTGCTACACTATACTACGCTATGCTATGCTATTGTTTCACAAAGAGAACATACTGAACACAAAACATATGGGACAAAATTTGCAGATGCAATTGCTAGCCATCAGATATTGTCCTGGCTGGCATCTAAATAATCCTCTGGCAACTAAATAAAAGTACTGTGATTTACAGACGTGATGAGTTCCAAAGGCTGCCCTTGGATTCATGTCTACAGCACTACCCCACAGTTTGGCAGGTTCTCATGAGGCAGAGACATACCCAAACTTATATAGCTATGTAACTAAAGTCAGACAGCAGCCCGTTTAATGCAGGCTGTCTGCCCAAGCACTAACCTGGGTTCCCAAACAAGTTGTGTAGCCCATCCTAACTAAAAAAATAAGCCAGTTGGTTATATTTATTTTACTAGCAGCACTCATGGCCATGTTCCATGGAATTCATGTAACACCTATAACCAGTTAAATGTTACATGATATCATGCAGTATGTTTTAGTCAATAGGCCTGGCTTGGTGCAGATTTGTGTAAAGCTCTGTGTACACTGTTACACAGTTGGGAATGCAGTTAGGCAAGTTCCAAAGTACTTCCTACTATATGCAGTATTAATAGTGTCATAATACTGAATTGAATTTAACATTTAAATTCCAACAGACAAAACCAGAGGACTTTCATCCTCCCCTTTCTTCTCTTTTCTTTTTCTAACATCTGATGTCTACCTTCTCATACTTACTGTCATTGTTGGAGCCGGTTTCCATAACACCATAAGGAGGAGTGAGAAGTCCAGACATATACTGTCGATATTTCTGAAAGACAGTGATGGCACATTTGGTCAGGTAGAGATGCAAAAAGCCATTCAATGCATGATGTGGTATTTGCATTTGTGTGTCTGCTGCCTTGTGCTTCACATACACACAAGCAGTCTAAGGCAGTCAGACATGTCTTTACTATTAACACTACAATGCCTGCTTTCTTGACTGGAGCACACTGCCTTTGTTTTATCAAAAGGTGTGTTAAAACAGTTCCCTCCTTCATCTTCCCCACAGCATGACTTTGAGGGGTCGAATAAACCAACGCTGTACTTAGTTGTGTGATTTCCCATAAAGGCTGTTTTAAAGCTCATTTGAAATTACACTACTCAGCTGAACTCAAGCTAGAAAGCTACTTTCTTGTAGGGATGGAGACATGGCTGTTAACTAAGGATTCATGAGAATCATGTACCACTACAATTTTGGTGTTAGATTTGAAATATATAAGAATTGGTGCACTACTAAGTTCGGTTTTCAGAAAGTACAAGGTTATGAAACACACGAACCCAGCACCCCGTGTTATGTATGTGCGCGCGCACACACACACACACACACTGTATTATCAGATGAAACTTTGTAACTGTAAAAATAATGTCCCTTGTACCATTGTAAACTACATAATTGTAACTGATGTCAGTAACTGGTATTTTTCTTCAGTGAATGTTGGTGACATGATCAATAAGGTTCAAAGCTCCGTCTAGGGCTTAAGAAACTCACAGAAGCTAAAAAATAACACCAAAGGAAAAAACGTCATTTTATCAAATACAAATCATTCAATGAATAAGTGAGACATTGTTGTTTTCAATCATACTACATTACTGTCATGCTTAAGGATAAACAATTATAATACCCTTTTAGAACTGTCACAAAACAAGCTTGTGCAACAGGGGTGCTGATGATCAGCATAAACAAAATGTGTCATGCAGTCCTTAGGGTGTGCAGTGAGCTGAACGTGAACAACCAACCAGCTGAAATTCATGTAGGTTTCAACTAAGCACACGTAACAATCGAGACAGAAAATTTCCCTCATAGTACAATTTTAATTTAAACGTTTTATCCTCTGCTCTATGGAGCTGTTCGGATGTATTCACTTTTAAAATGTCTGCTGGATTTTAACAGATGCTTGAATTATCCTTTCAACATTTCTTTTTCTTGGATAAAGATATGAAAATATCATCAATTCTAGCACTAAAGACTGCATGTCTTGCATTCTAAATAATAACAAAAGCTACAAAGATTACATTAATCTTAATAATCCAATCCTATTTTTAGACAAGCTATTACATCCTAAAGCTTAGTAATGTATTATTTAAATCTCACCCATAATCCAGCTGAAAACTCACAGGAGCAAAACTGTGTTATATCACTGGTCAGTCACATGAAATAAATGATACTCCATTAGATAAAACTCTCCTATTTTCTTTCCCAAACCATTCACTTTCCTGTACCCTGCATCTAGTCCTATCCCTGGAACTCAGTGAGAGGAATAACATGAGAAATAATTATTTTCTCAGTTCAACTAGTAAACCACACGCATAAAACACGGGAAAAACTCATTTTGGTAGGCCAAATGTAAAAAAAGGAAAGCATGTCGCAAGGGATTGAAATAACATTTTATTCAAACAGTAGATAAGCGTTATGTTCTACCTTCTACTGAATTTGGTCTTGAAACGTGATTTAGAAATGGAAAATGGAAATGTTTCATTTGGGATATGATAAAATCAAATTTTATAGGTTTTTTTTCTTTTATTCTTCCTCAGCGTTCAGATGATATTTGTTTCTTTTCTCTGCTTTTCCCAAAATAGCGTTTTCCCAGAAATACATTGCTAGTCCACATTTAGTCCACCTTGATAAGGAACTCGAATTGTAGGAAGACAGTTATTTTCTCTTTTATTTCGTATACCATGTTCACAGTCATCATACACTGCATGGCACTTTCCCTTCTGATTAATTCCCTAATATTTTTCCTGATTATTCTTCTAATGAAACAAAAAATAGAACACAGCACATAATTTTCAAAATATTTTGGGGCCTAGCTTAACAAAAATACCTACAGGTAGAATAAGCCAGAATTGCATATAACACTTTAAAGGAGGCACCTAGCCCCCTTCAGCCCCACCTCACGCTCAGGACGCCAGAGCCCACCAGGAACAAAAGCACGGGCTGCCAAGGACTTCAGCTCTGTCATCTTCACATGAAGGTCCCACCCTGCCATGGGATGAGTTTGATACAGCAAGCCCAGTGAGCAGTGTTGCCCCTGAAGGAGTTCAGGCAGCATTACCAGAAGAGGCATTAATTCAAGACATGCCCTCAGGAAGCTCAGTTGTTCAGACTCCTCCAGGGGACCTCTGCATAAATGAAACCTTCTATATCTGGGTATCCGGAAGGAAGGCTGATATGACTGCCTACAAACGGTCTCCTATGAAGATACCTCAGTGGGGTGCAGGCTGACATAGGAGGTATAATTTACACCTAAAATTGTGTCACTGCATCAGCCAAATTAAATGTCAAGGGACACTTATTTGTCAAGAAGTCAGGGAAACACTGTTTGCTGGGAAACCTACGTATCCAAAGAAAGAATAAGCAACTGCACAAAGATTCACAGTATCAGATGGAGTAATGAAGTTCCAGGCATGAGATTTCTCAAAGCTGAGCTAATGAGGAAAACACAACACTGACTGTGAGACCTATCTTGTTACTGTAATGTCTGTAAATGAAAAGAAAATGCAATAAGTTAAATTGTACTGGTAGGTGGCATTTAAAATAATCCTGAAGATTAACAGACTAAATATTTACAAAAGGCTTTTGAAAATGTATTCCACTGGTGGTATGAACTCTGGAAAGGCTTTCCTTGTGAAAGACAACAACGGCTATCAAATCATCATAAGCTTGTTTATTACCAGAAGTCTTCAAGTTCTGTAAATCCAACATGACAGCAGGTTTTAAAACTACACTCAGTGACCTATTCACTCTGCCTTCAGATTTCTACCAATTTATAAACTCTATCATGCAACAGCTTAAAGATCAGACACTTCTTGCATCTAATCTGACAGCACGAGTAATAAAGACAGTATTTTTTCTTCCAGTTACTGACCGCCTCATATCCATGCAGTGGTGAAATTAACACGACCTTTTCAGTCACTGCTGTAGCCTAAAGCACAGAAGAGCGCTGACAAGGAACAGCTGGGGATGGGAGAAGAGGAAAGAGAATCACATGCTCACCTTACTGGGGAGGTGCTGTGGGTGAATTTTCATACCAACAGTTTTGAAGACCACTCACTGTCAGGCTTTTCAGTGTGTTCCTTTGCATGCTCTTATTTAGACTTTATTTGCAGTTAGCTGCAGTTAGTCTCAGAGGTTTTCATGACTGCAATAAATTTCCTTCTACTCCGTGAGCATAATTTGGTGTAATTTTATATGCTAATGTTTAGAAAGGCAACTACTATGATTCTGATGCAAGCTATCTCTAAATTCCTTACAAATTTTTCCAGTGTACACAAGGATATACAAAATATGTCTTTGTAGTTAATCCCTCTCTTCTGCTGCAAGTACTGAAGAGCTAATACCTGTTTAAAGGGAAAGAAGGAGCAAAAAAGGAATCTGTACAATACAACAGTCCAAAACAAGACAGGTAGGTGTGAAGAAAATAGATGAGCCTTTGTTGTCTTCCACGTGACTCAGGACTGATGAAGGGAAGACCTCCTGGGTATAAAGCCTTGAATGCAAGTTCCACACCAGATACTCCCCCGAGCGCAGCAGTTCTCCAGTCTGCTAAGAGTATCTGATGGGCTGTGTAATAAGGACTCAGGCAGTGATGGCTTGTAGCACTAGGGAGTCAAGTCAGGCTTCTGATGCTTCCCCACCCCAAGGTAAACCCACATGTGGCCAGATACTAGGAAATTAGTGTCTTGTAACACTGGAGAAGGTTTTGTAGACCACAACAGGTTGAATACATGATCTCTCTCTTTCTCCTTCTCATTATCCCTGACTCACAATCTCAACTCATAGTGTCACTTTTGACCAGATGTACTTCTGCTGCCTCCTGTTCTGCCTACCACTGGCAGCAGAGAAGGTGACACATTGCATGCATTACTTGCAAACTTGGGAGTAACACAAAATAATTAATTTCAGTTGTAGAAAATCCTAGGCCAAACATCAAGGTGGCCTTTCCACACACACTTGTGTAACTATTTTATTAGATGCTGTTAATTCGACTATCTCCTGAGTTCTGCAATTCTCCTGTACTAGCTGTCCATACTCCTGTAATGGTTTCTCTTGGGGAATATATGCTGTAGCTTGACAATGTGAGCCAGCTTCTCTGTTTTCTTTTGATGATAAATAATTGATCTCTGATGCTCTCAGTACAACTCTGTTCTTCCTCTAAGTTGGCTGTGCCACTCATACCATTTTGGCAATGAACCACCTCCCTTGTGAGCATTACTCACAAAGGTGCAGCACTCCCATGGTGCATTGTTTCTTCTCCTCTTTTCTCCAGAACAATAAGGAGAGATGTGAAAGAACCCCTGAAGATCTCTGGACCCTCTTGTCACCCACCAAACCAAGCAGAGATTGCTGTCCCGAAGTCTACATCTTTGCCTTTAGATCTGATGCTCCAAAGATTGCTCTTCACTGACAGGTAAAATCTCAGGTGATCTGCCTGCTCTCCATTAATGTTTTCCAATAAAATGTGCCTAATGTTCTTACAGAATTTCACAAAAAAAAAACCCCAAACCTGATAATCATATTCATAGTTGTTTTTAACCCAAATCTTGTTACAAAGGGCAAACCAAACAACACACTTGCTATTGCCCAATAGTATGTGCAGAGACCCACAGAAGACTGGCATAATTCTGATTTCAGGTACTGCCTTTTTAGTATGTTTACAAATTAGTAATCTTATGTCTTCTAAGCAAGCTCAATTAGAAAATTTCCATACATTTCAAGCCAATGCCACTTAACTAGATACCACAAAAAGGACCTGACCCATGGCTGTTTAA